CTTAGCACAGCAGGGTGGTGGAACCAAGTAGAGAGCGGCTGACGTAGCAATATTTTTCTCGTGAAATTACTGTAATCCGAAGAAGAAAAACCGTCTGAGAAGAGGGACGAGATAAAGCAGAGACAAGTATCATTATACGAATGTTTCGGGGGGAACCCTGAACTTGATCGCACGCAAGAAAAACATATTCTCCGTGCTGACACAAGGCAGAAAGTATACAAAATCCGGGTATTATTCAGCCCACCGCGCGGGATTTGATACATCCATTTCATCCACCATTGGATTGAATTAGGCTAAGCGAGGACACTAGCCAACTTTGATGGGGCAACGTTGCCACTTCTCGGACTACAACGCGAGTCTACGTGACTCAAAGAAATCTCTGTATACAGGGTAATCCAGGGTTAAATGGCGAGACTTCTCGAGCGTGTTCTGTGGGTCAAAAAAAGACTTTTTTGTTGTACAAGGTTTTTTCCAAAAGTGCCCCCAGTTGGAGCTACGGCCCCTCAAAATTTCGGAGAGTGAATCGCGGTTTTTCCTGAATTTTGGCAACGGTTGTGAACCTAATCTCATGAAAATTTCTATTCTCCTATATATTTATGCCCTGAATTCATGAATGATCTAAAAACAATCGAAATCTCAATTTAAAGAGGGGGTTTGGGATTATTTCGGCTCCTGTAGTCTAGCCGTTTAACCTTGGATCACCCTGTATAGATATGAGCAGGCAATAGCTGACGCGGCTAGGTTCCTTTCTGCTAAACACGGTCCGATTAGAAGATCATTGAATAATCCATGCTTTTAATATGAGTTAAAAGGTTAAATTTAGCTTATATATCTGAAAGGTAATAATACCTACCAACCTACCTGTATATTTTATCTTATCGTAATAATATGATGTAGATGTGGACTCTCAGGATAGCGTGGGATATCCTCTCAATTTTGGCCTCAACTTGAGAGCTTTTTTTGAGCTTGGGAGTTGATTTCAGAGAAAACCAGTGGCACCATCGTATTTCTCGCAAACTTTTACGTAAGAATCAATAGTCGAATTGCAAATTCCTCACATGCAATATCTCCATTCTGTAAAACCTCCTTGATTTTTCTTCTCCATGCGAAGGAAATTCTTCAAAAACCTCAAGATATGATGTTGATTTGTTCTCCTTCAAAAGAAATTAAAAAGGAGCGGAGACTCTGAAACATCGCAAACGAGATGCGAGATTTAGGACTTTCACCGTCGATATCTCGTTTTCTCAAAACTTCATTTTTGGTGTTATTATTCTCGGCGATACACATAAGTGAGTCAATGGCGTGCACTGGAAAAAAAAACCACATTGGATTTAGAGTCCAGACTCTTAAAAACATCGACAAGAAAAAGTACTCTTGATTCAATCAGAATCTAGCTTAAATTAAGAACCAAGTCTCTTAATTTAAGCGGATTTCGTTTTGATTCAAGCAAAAATCCGATTGAATCAAGAGTATTTTTTCTTGTCAATGTTTTCAAGAGTCTGGACTCAAGATCCAATGTGGTTTTTTCCAGTGTGGTGTGCTTTGCGATATATCGATTGACCTGTCATTTAGACCTATGGAAAAGGATCGACAAAGAGGGTGTTCGCAACGAACACTTTAATAATCGATCCTTCACCACATCTTCAATAGGGAAAAATCGATAATCGATCATTAACACCTCGCCACTGGCTCGAGTGAGTGGCTCAGTGATTTTACCGAACGTCGCAACTTGTTTGCCAAACAAATTGCTCAACTGTCAACAACTCCGGCGAAACGGAGCCGCGTTACTTTTGAGATCTCTCCGAGCATTCGATGTTTTCATATATTTGTATTGATGCTCAATGCGGAACCTTATATCGTTAGCCGTGATACTGGAAGAATGCACAAGGGACGGCGGGGAAGCAACAAGACCAATGGAGAAAAGTCTCGCCGCAATTTAGCCGGCAACAGCGATGATCACTCACCGCTACGCCCTTCCTGTATAAAGAGGATCACGTCTGGGTTTCTATTCCAATTTTCCTCCAATTCAAAGCGTAGTTTCCGGAGCCCAAGTCGCTGCCGGGGTCTCAAAAGAAACATTTAGAGGGGGGCGCGGGGGCTGGGATGCGCTGAGGTTGCCGGACTGTGCCTCGCAATTTCCACTTTAACATTACGTTATACAGGGTGCTTCATGGAGGAAAGAGAGATCGCAACACTCAATCGTGTGTATGACCGAGAACAGTAACGCCAAGAAATGAAGTTTTGAGAAAACGAGATATCGACGGTGAGACTTCCAAACCACGTCTTTTAATGCTCATTTTATGTGTACACTTGCAGGTATATTGGATGTTTCTTTTACTTTTAATGTAAAATTTTAGGTAAATTTGCTTATAGCTGGCTGTAGGGTCTTTAACTGGAGTTTAAGCCATAGAACCTTCAGAAAAAGAAGAATAAAATTTGAGCTTAGGCTTGAAATTATAGATATGAGTATTGTGAGCAAAATAAGTTTTCTCAAAGGTTTCATTGTGAATTTTATAATCTGCATCTTTTTTTTTTTTTTTTTTTTTTTTTTTTTTTTTTTACCCAATGGGAGTGCTATTAAGAAATCTGCACAAGCCTGATTATTATGATTTATAATGGTAAAAATAAAGTAACGGCCCAAATCCATTTTCCTCCTGGTAAATTCACAGGTTCGCAGTGATTTTGACCACATTGTGCAAGTAAGAACGCCGTACGAACCTTCGGATGTTGCCAAATCTCATTCGACAAATCACGGATTTTCAGGGAAATTCGTGAATATTTTTCTTTTGATTTTTCAGGGAATTTCGTTCGTAGTTTGATCTGAAGTGTCCGCAAATTTCAAGGAGAGAGAAAAAAAATATATTTCTTCAAAAAAAAAATCTTTCTTCAAAAGTGAATATTTCCTAAGCAGGAATTCAGCAATTTTTGAATTTCCTTACGGCATTTTTCCTTAGCACGGCAGTAATCACCTGAAACCTGAATCACTCCGTGAAAAACACGGATTCCGGTACAAGCCGGCAATGATCGGATGAGCCGCGTCTTGACGGAGTTCATCAGGAATCATCTTCCCTAATCCGGGGCACGGTGCGTCGGGGGACGGAGGGGGGAGCCTAAAATTGTTATTGCGGGGATGATTTATGCGCGGGGCAACATTTATTATTCTTTATTGTTCTTTTGTGTCGGCGGTGAATGTAGATGTGGATGCTGAGGTGGAGCCGCATCGGCCCGGCCGGTGAGAATTCGGAGCGTAAATTTAATTAAAATGATCCGCGGTTCTTGGTCGTTCCTTCCGAGCGGGACGAGGAGCGGTTAATGAAGGCAGGAAATTTGCACCCCACTCCGGAGCGCCCCCCCCCTCGGTCCCCCCTTTACCCCTCGCGCGGGGTTATTGCGGGTCCGCCGGGGGAAAGAGTTGCGTTTCCGTCTTGCCGCGTTTTCGGGAGGAGCGTCGTTGTCGAGGGGTCACGGGGAACCGGAAATCTCGGCGGGTTTTCAACGTCGCACAGTGGATCGAGTCAATGGAGAATTTGCACACACAAATTTTATTGCTTCATCTTATGGTGCCTAATGAGCTGAGTTCGCAGTATTTTTCATAATTTTTTCCGACATGGGAAATTGGAGAAAAATTGATTTTAAAGTGAGAAAATTTGCCGCCTTGCACTGGAAAAAAACACATTGGATCTTGAGTCCAGACTCTTGAAAACATTGATAAGAAAAAATACTCTTGATTCAATCAGATTTTTGCTTCAATCAAAACGAAATCCGCTTAGGTTAAGAGGCTTGGATCTTGATTTAAGCTAGATTCTGATTGAATCAAGAATACTTTTTCTTGTCGATGTTTTTAAGAGTCTGGACTCTAGATCCAATATGTTTTTTCCCCTCAGTGTGTGACCTCATCTGGCGCCATTTTCCATTTAAACACATGTACTTTAGCAGATTAGGTTATTTGTCATATTTTCTCCAGTCCAATTTAGAGACCGATGATATTCTCGTATTAAATTTTCCTAACAGTGTCATTTTAAAGATGAAATTCACAAAATTTAAGAGACCTGCAATTTCTCTATTAGAAGAAGTCGGACTTAATATTTTCAGCCAAAATTTCAAATTTTGAGTTTATTTTCGTCGTATATTCAATTTAAAGCGGTGTCATTAAAAGGAAATTACACAAAAAACCAATGGAGCCACTTTTGTCCGATTTTTCCTATTTTTTCGCTGTAGTGTGCGACGTCCGGGAAAAGAAAACATATTTAGGGAGTTTTTACCGTATGCCTGGAGACAATTTGGAGAACCCTCGCCAAATTTTGGGAATATTTGCAGTGGCTCAAGGAACTTTGGAGGAATTATTTTTCTATAGGACAGAAAAAATTTTGGTAAATTTTTTCTTGATTAGGATACATGTGTGGAATTCTGTCATAATAAGGGATAATTTAAAGATCTTTTCCTGTGACTGCGGGGAAACTTTGATAATTTTTTTTCTCCCTCTAGCAATCTTACCATTCACATTCAGGTATTTTCGTTGTAATACCAGAAAATTCGATGAAATTCATTTCAGAGTGTTGCAACAAGTTATTTCTTCATTTCTTCAAAATCAAAAGCAGAGTTGTCTCTCTTAAAATTATATAATACATCTATACGAAGTATTCACGCAAAGCTGAACTTATCTTTGGCCGGGAGTAAGAATCACAGATTTTTTGTCTCTTTCTTTTTTCTTTGTTCCAATAATCGGATGGTTTTTTTTGTGCAGTTGGAGTTTTTGACATGCTATTAATAGTTTAATATTAAAAATACTTTCAGACAGGGACATTCTTTTTACCCTCAGTGTTTCAAGGCAGCTTAAAAAGTGAGCCGGAAATATGAATTGCGCAACTTCTACCCGAATTTGTCAAATAATCTTTGAATTTCCATGCTATCCAAACGATAGTACATTTCCTTTAACTTAAATATTCCAGGTCCTCCGTTATTTTAAGTTTCTAATCGTCTTTCTCTCATTTATGTTCCAGTGCCACCGCAAAAACTCATAATCACTGACGATGTTGGATTAGAACGAACTACCGTAGTTGGGCCTTACAACGAACACTCCTCGCTCAGACTGAAATGCAAAGCAATCGGAGGTAAGTTTGTTCAAAGTTCATGAATGATGGAGAGAATGGGGAGGCGTAAACCGTGATCTTATGCCGTCAAATTCCAACTCTACACAGTTCCAGAAAAAAACTTTCAGTTGAAGAGGTTTCCAGAAAAACCCCACAATAAAACTTGGATGAGTTCGTTTTTCTCATCTTTTTTAGCTAGAAAAGCAGGAAGGTTCTGCCGCTTGTCCTAGTAGCGGTCGCTCCGGGAGAAAGCCTGCCGCGATAGCGAAATGCATTTCTGTATGATCCATGATCAGCACATGTTTTATGTGTCTTGGGGCTCATCTCAGCATGCACTTAATGCTCTCTTCGCTATCACGGCAGAAGCTTTCCTCCATTATCCTTAACCCTTTTCCAGAAAAGATCAGGAATAGCAGGAACCTGAGTCTTACTACCCACTACCAGCCAACAAACTGACCTTCGGAAACTCTATTTCAGTCTAATTTCTTGGAAATGCTTGTGATTTTATTAAAACTGAATTGTTTATCACTTTGATAGACTTTTAAAGTTACCCACGCGAATTTCGAAGAATGAAACCAGGTGAATGTCATGTTTTACACATGGACGTATTTCTACCGAACAGACCTATGTGGAGGCGAGAAATATGGGGTGTGCTCGTTAGTTCTCTGGTCGTAAGAGTGAATGAGAATAATAAAGCGCCAGTGACGTCAGCGGCAATGATGGAGCCAAGTATCGAGGGGGGAATCGTCGTCGGGGCGCTTAAACTCATGAGCCCTGTTCACAACGCTCTCTTGCCATGCCCGCGGCTCATGAATCCCGCATTCAGTTGGCACATAGGTCTGTTTGATAGAATGTAACATCCCGCTTTTCCAATTCTTCAAAAGGAATCACGCCCTCTTTTACATTGTTTCTTATGCAGCTTCGACGAGCATACCCCACATTCCCACCTCCACATAGTTCTGTTTGATAGAAATACGTCCACTTGGCGAAAATATTCCTAGCGAAGATCGCAACGGCGAGACGCTATAATTGTCGTCTTCATGTCATACGGACTGAATGTAGCGTCATACGAAGACCAGTCATGCGTGTTGCGTGTAAGGTAATGAAGGCGCTCGTCTTTACTGTGACTCAGAAATCGAAATTGCCGTCATGTTTTAAATTTTTTAATTATTTTTTACCCTCAGACAGTATTGGACCGATGGTGGGAATCTCGATTCCAATATTTTCAAAATTTTCTCTGTAATTGTATTCGAATTACGAGATGAAAAACCCCTTTAGGATGTACTTGTGCTTTTCTCCCTCATTTGAGCATGGCAAAACTTTTGCAATCTTTTGTCGGATTTCGATCTTACAAGAAAAGGCAGTTGCACGAAAAGTGCAAAAAGAAACATTCTGGATAGGCGATTGTATCGAGCGGATTAATTTCGGTTTTGTCGGCAGTGTGCTTATCGCCCTTTTCAAAGGCTCAAATTAAATCGTGAAGCATAAATAAATAAAAAAAGCGTTAATTCTTGAGTGAGAATTTATGTCTTCCTCGATACTCGTCTGAAGAAATATGAGATTTATAGGAGCCGAGGGGGCTGAAAATAAGTGATGATTTGTTTCCGTTCCTCACAAAGAGAAAGCAGAGAAAATAGGTCATAAATCAAGTATCTGTATTTCAGGGGCATAGATTACAGATACTTGATGGATAAATAAAACACTTGAGCATGCTGACTCAAGAGGTTAAAAAATCTCCCGGGAACAAGCTGAGTTACGTATCGTATATCGTTGGAGGAAAACACATCCATACGAAGTTTCAAAATCTCTACTGTTTTATCCTTTTTAAGGAAAAGCAAATTAACTCTATTTGTACGCATTTTGAAACTTTTATAGGCGCATGAGTCAGAAAATACTCACTAAATGAACACGGTGTTTTCATGTAGGACTCTACAAAGTCCGCTACATCAAGAGAGAAAATCTTCCTCGACGAAGGTTTTTTCGCTACACCCAGAATTTCGGAGGGGGGGGGGCAGATGATACAATTTCAATTCTACGGAACCATCCCTGGACCCCCCCCCCCTTTGGATGTNCTTTGCATGGTCATCATCAGGACCTTCACAGTCAAAAAACTGTATTTAATTACATTTTTCAATTAATAATAACAACTTTGGCAGGCATTTTGATGACTAGGTAGGAAAGTAAATATTGATAAGATGGTTTGAGGATCAATCACAGAGCTCAGTACATCTTTTATGCAATTGGTTTGTCGCCAAACCGATTTCTGTTCGCGTATTTTACAAATTACAATTCTTTTGTAACTGTCTCTTCTCTAACTGCCTTGGCAATTTCAAACTTCTCTAGAACTGATAATAATTTGCTATACTTTTTTTTCTCTCTTTTTTTCCCAATATTCTGTCTTTCCTCTCCCTTCTTTTTTTTATACATTTCCTAGTTTTCCTCATCTGGTGTGTTCGTCTTTCCTTCCTTATTTTCTGATTTTTCCTCCCCTTTGTCTTCTGATTCCATATTTGGACGCTTGTCTGCCAAACGGAACCAGACACAGACGGGAAAGAAGAGTCGTTCTCGTTAGTTGAGGGCCGTAAGAATGAATGGGAATTATAAAGCGCCAGTGACGTCAGCGGCAACGAAGCCGTGCCCGTCGTCGCTCTCGGTCGGCATTAACTCATGAGCCCTGTCCACAATGCTCTCTTCCCATATCCACGGCTCACGAGTGTCGCATTCAGTTGGCACACAGTTTCGTTTGACAGAATGTAAAATCCCGCTTTTCCATTTCTCCAAAGGGAATCTCGCCCACTTTAACATTGCTTCTTATGCAGCTTTCTAGAGCACACCCCATCTTCCCCATTCGTCCACGGTTCCATCTGGCAGTATTTCGTCTAACTGGTTTGTTGCCAAACCTATTTTTTTTTACTCATTCAACAAATTACAATTATTGTTTTTATTGCCGCCGTGACAATTCCAAAATTCACTAGAACTGATAACAATTGAGGGGCTTGAGGGACAAGGAGCATAGGTGCACTTTTTGCTACTTCGAGAAATACGTGTTTGAAGTTTCAAAATTACATGGATCGATATGGCGGAAAGAAAGTTCAAAGTGACTTGTTGATGCTCAAAGATTGGAATTTAGGAGCGAACTTTTCATAGGATGTGCATTCAGACTAGTTTTACTTGAAATCGTTGATAAATCAATTTTTTCAAAAACTGCTTTTATGCGTCTTGTCCTCCAAGCCCTTCAATTTTCTATGATTTTTCTCTTCTCTTTTATTTCCAGTTTTCTGTCTTTCCTCTCCTTCCTTCCTTCCTTTCTTTGTAACTTACTTAATTTTCCTCATTCTCGTGCACTGGAAAAAAAAAACACATTGGATCTAGAGTCTAGACTCTTAAAAACATCGACAAGAAAAAATACTCTTGATTCAATCGGATTTTTGCTGAGATCAAGAACCAAGCATTTTAATTAGAGCGGATTTTCTTTTGATCTAAGCAAAAATCTGATTGAATCAAGAGTATTTTTTCTTGTCAATGTTTTCAAGAGTCTGGACTCTAGACACAATGTGTTTTTTTTTTCAGTGTGTGTTCGTTCTTTCTCCCATGTTATCTGCATTTTCCTCCCCTTTGTCTTCTCACTCCATAATTTTCCTTCTGCTCCTTTTTCCTTTTCCTTATTCTCGTTTATCCTATCGCCAGCAAGGCGGCAACCCCTGACGCGACGAGGCAGCTAGACGCGTCGAAAGTGACGAGATNCAGACTTTGCCGATGCGCTCATCGTGATTTTTGAGGCATTATCTATAAGAAACAACTCTTATTTTTGCTCTAGCAAAAGTTTGCAACAGGCCCATTGGTTTGTTGCCAAACCTATTTCTGTTTACACACTCAACAAATTACAATTATTTTTTTTACTGCCGCCGTGACAATTCCAAAATTCACTAGAACTGATAACAACTGAGGGGCTTGCGGGGACAAGGAGCATAAGTGCCTTTTTTGCTACCTCGAGAAATACTTGTTTGAAGTTTCAAAATTACATGGATCCTTATGGCAAAAAGAAAGTTCAAACTGACTTTTCGATGCTCAAAGATTGGAATTTGGGAGAGAACTTTTCATAAGATGTGCATTTAGACTAGTTTTACTTGAAATCATTGATATATCAATTTTTTCAAAAACTGCACTCATGCGTCTTGTCCTCCAAGCCCCTCAATTTTCTATGCTTTTTCTCTTCTCTTTTATTTCCAATTTTCTGTCTTTCCTCTCCTTCCTTTCTTTCTTTCACTGGAAAAAAACACATTGGATCTAGAGTCCAGACTCTTAAAAACATCGACAAGAAAAAATACTCTTGATTCAATCAGATTTAAGCTTAAATCAAGAACCAAGCCTCTTAATTACAGCGGATTTCCTTTTGATTTAAGCTTAAATCTGCTTGAATCAAGAGTCCTTTTTCTTGTCAATGTTTTCAAGAGTCTGGACTCTAGATCCAATGTCTTTTTTTTTTCCAGTGGTGTAAATTACTTAATTCTCCTCATTCTGGTGTGTTCGTTCTTTCTCCCTAGTTCTCTGCTTTTCCTCCCTTTTGTCTTCCTTTTCCAAATTTTCCCTTCTGCTACATTTTCCTTTTCTTTATTCTCGTATATCCTATCGCCAGCGAGGCGGCAACCCTTGACGCGTCGAGGCAGCTAGACGCGCCGAAAGTGACGAGATGATCTCTCCGTCCCCGGCGCGGTTCGCGGCCCCTTCGCGGGGGCGGCCCGCAACCCGGAGGGCAGGGGCGAGATGAGATTGGCCCCGCTCCAGCCCCCCGGGGGGAAGGGGGGGGGCGCTCCTCGAAGCGGAGTCACGACTTCCTGGTGTCAGTCCAAAACCCGAGCCCTGACTCCGGCGCCCGCTGAGCCGCGGGTTGGGCAAGGGCCCGCGCCGGGCGGGGCTCAGAGCGGTCGCCCTCGACGCGGCCATCGTGTCGCCGATTTATAAGCTCCCGGGGATTATCATATTTTATACATTTCCCTTGCCCGGGAGGGGTTTCTTATTTT